CTGCTGAGTCTAAATAAAACACATTCCCTACATTAGGCAGCCTATCCCAAAATTTTACTCAGAGCAATTTAAAGATAGTGACCTAAAACGCTAATATAGTCAAACAGCAGAGTACTCTAATTATAATAGAAAAACAACAGAACAGCTCAGACTATGATGAAAGAAAGCAACTCCACAGGTTTTGGGATGCTGAAAAGCCTCAACAAAGACTTTAGACAAGAGTCTAATAAAAAGTAATCCCAATTGTCAATACAATGAGCAGACCTGACCCTTGAACAGGAGAGTAATTTTTTATATCAAACAAATAATAAATAACCAAGTAACAACGTAACAGAGGGAATGGCCTGAAAAAGAGTAAAATGTCTTATAAGTTGTCTCTTTAAAACCTCCCCCACTCTTTTTGGGAATTAAAGCTTGTGTTCCTGCCCAAGGCAAGTAATCAGAGGGGCAGGAGAATGTCCTTAGTTCTTTGTACCACAGGAGATGGCACAAAGGACTTGTCCAGGAGTGGAGGTCACCAAATTGTCTTCCCTGGAGAAGAGATGGATGAGGACCATCAACTGTAGTTAAACAACAATGTCCTGAAACAACCAACCAAAAACAACCCTATAAAAGCTCTGTATTTCTGCTTCTAGACAGGACATTGATACTTAATGACAGGAGTTTGCCAACCTACTCATTTGCTGGAAAATTAATAAACTTCCTTTTTCTTCTCCTCAAACTATTTGTCCTCAGTCTTCTGATGTGGCCTCAGGGACAAGTGTCGAACTTTCGGTAACAAGACAACTTATGTAACATTATCAAGCAAAATATCAATCTCTGCTATTGCATTTGTTCCTGACAGACTTTCTAGTTACAACTGTGCACAAAGCAGAGAATAATGCCCTTGGGTGTGCCCCTAAGACACAATGGATAAGGACAACTGCCCCATGGATAAAAGACATCCCAGTGCCACATCAAACAGAACTGCCTGAAATTCTACTATACAGCAAAGCCTAAGGAGTCATCTCACAGTCACAAGTCCAAGGGAAGATGCTTAGGATATGCAGAATCTGCAAAAGTGTTCAGAAAGTAACTCTGGATGTGTATATCTACCATTGAGAAAAATGCCCTGCACACTATTTTCTCCCAGGTTCTTTGCCAAGCTTGCTGAGAGAACTATAAACTCTTTAGGATCACTATGATCCTACAGCTGATGTTGCCAATTGTATATGACACTTTCAAGGAGAAGTTTATACCTCTCGTCACAAAAGAACTCTGAGCCCTTCTAGAGAAAGTCATCAACACATTTCCCAAGCTCTACATGAGGAACTGAAAGCTTATAAAGGGATGGAGGTCAGGACTCAGTCATTATACCAACATAATTAAATCTGAAAATGTATTCTTTCTGCCTCTAATATACTAATAGACACTTTAAGAGCTTGATTAACTGATTATCAGAGTACTTCCAAGTGCCCCCTGCCCCTAACTCTGCTGAAAACGCAAAGCCTAATGGTAAAGTGGAAGACACAGAAGAGATACGATGTATGGAACAAGAATAGCGCACACCAGGAATATTCCCTGGTGCCTGTGTTCCATCAAGTTCTTATTGCTGGTAGAAAGGGATTAGGACTCTAAAACATTTTTTTTTTTTTTTTTTTTTTGAGACAGAGTCTTGCTTTGTTGTTCAGGCTAGAGTGAGTGCCCTGGCATCAGCCTAGCTCACAGCAACCTCAAACTCCTGGACTCAAGCGATCCTACTGCCTCAGCCTCCCGAGTAGCTGGGACTACAGGCATGCGCCACCATGCCCGGCTAATTTTTTTTTATATATATATATATATATATCAGTTGGCCAATTAATTTCTTTCTATTTATAGTAGAGACAGGGTCTCACTCTTGCTCAGGCTGGTTTTGAACTCCTGAGCTCAAGCAATCCACCTGCCTCGGCCTCCCAGAGAGCTAGGATTACAGGCGTGAGCCACTGTGCCCGGCCTAAAACATTTTATCTTACTCTCCCTTTATCAACAGCCACTGATAATGCTACTGAAATGCTACAGAAGAGGCTCAAAGGTCAGGCAAAATGCATCCTTGAAAGTGCAAACAACCCAAATTGCCCATTAACTGATGAACAGATAGGCAAAACGTGGTATATTCATACAGTGGCATATTATTCAGCCAAATAAAGGAATGAAGAATTGATACATGCTGATGGGGCTCAGAAACAGTACCCTCCATTGCAGGCCTCAGAAGCAAAAGTTTTTCTCTGACCCTCTCTTGTTCTCCTGCCTCTCAGTCTCATTCTTTTCTGAAACTAACCAAGAAACTAGAATCCCTCTTCCCGAAAGAGGGCCATAGAAACCAGAATACCTTTTCCCAAAAGCAAGCCATAAAACCTAAAATTATTCTGTGTCAAAACTGGCCATAAAGAAATTATCAGACCTACCTTGTTTGACAGTAAGTCATAAGATCCCCATGGGGTCTGCTCCATACCCAGAAGGAAGGAATGCTGCTCAGAGAGACCCAGATGAATCTGGACAGACAGATCTTGCTGGGTTTCCCCACTCAGTCTACCAGCATTAGATCATATCCTTTTTGTCCCAACATATTTCTACATTGATAGGACAGCCTTGCTAATAAACCATCTAACAGAAAAAGGGAGAAAAAGATTGCTATCTTAAAATTAACTACATGGGTCTTAATTCTTGGTCCTCAAGATCAAATGCCTGCTAAGATTTTTTTATTTATTTATTTTTTATTTTTGCAGCATTTGAAAAGAGCTGAGCAGACAAAAAGTGTAAAAAATCCTCCTCGCCAGACCAGTTCAGACAGACTACTGATAAGCTACTCTCCAGGAGAAGAAAAAAAGGAAAAAACCTGAAGTAGTGGCTCCACAGCCATTTTTCCTGCTATCAATATGTCACAATCAATTTTTCTTTTTTTCTCCCTTTTTCCTCATAAAAATCCCAAGCTCCTCCTGCTCAAAGCCTTCCTCTCTCTTTCCCTTCTGACTCTCTCCCCTTCTCTCTCTCTCAGAAAAAGCAACATAAACTTTTTACTTCTTTCTATCCTAATCTCTGTGTTGAGAATTCTTTCTCATCCCATGCACAAATTCCCACCCTAACATACATGGCTGTTCATACTTTGTTGAATTTAAGCATAAAAACAGACAATTTCCTCTGTATCTTTGGGTCTTAATCATGAAGGCTTCCATATATACAGACTAAAATAAATCTGTATGCCTGGTTCTAGAAATCAATCTGCCTCATACCAGTGATTTTTCAGCGAACTTTCAGGGGTTCAAGAGTCGTGGTCCATATAATACTAGTTAACAACATGGATGAACCATGAAAACATTATGCTGAGTGAAAGAGGACAGATACATACTACATACCCATATCCTGTAAAAAGAAAACTAAACACACATATTCACCCCTAAAATATCTCAGATATGCTAAGGGAGATTGTATTCCCCTATAAAAGACACTCCTATAGTATTTTCAAATGCGTTTTCTCTAAACAATCAAGAACCTTTTGGCTGGGCGCAGTGGCTCATGCCCGTAATCCTAGTACTCTGGGAGGCTGAGGCGGGCAGATTGCTCGAGGTCAGGAGTTTGAAACCAGCCTGAGCAAGAGTGAGACCCCGTCTCTACTATATATAGAAAGAAATTAATTGGCCAATTAATATATATGTAAAAAATTAGCCGGGTATGGTGGCCCATGCCTGTAGTCCCAGCTACTCGGGAGGCTGAGGCAGCAGCATTGCCTGAGCCCAGGAGTTTGAGGTTGCTGTGAGCTAGGCTGATGCCAGGGCACTCACTCTAGCCTGGGCAACAAAGCGAGACTCCGTCTCAAAAAAAAAAAAAGAAAGAAAAGAAAAAAAAAAAGAACCTCTTATTCCCAAACCTAAGTCTCTGCATTTTCCAAGAAAAGTGAAACCAACACAATGTTCTACATTGTAAATTAAAAAAACACATCATCTCCTTTCAATGCTTTTCTAAAAAGGTAGGCATCTGAGCAACTAAGTAGGTACTCCCAACAACTTTTAATCTTTTAATCTATTATAACCTAATTACCACTGACCCTGGAACACCACAGGTTTGAACTGCACAGGAGCACTTAATGGGGTTTTCTGCTTCTGCCTCGGCCACCCCTGAGACAGCAAGACCAATGCCTTCTCTTCCTTCTCCTCCTCAGCCTACTTAATGTAAAGATGTAAGCCTTTATGATAATCCACTTCCACTTAATTTTTTTTTTTAATACACAAGGTCTTGCTAAAGGCTGGAGTGCAGTGGCACAATCATAGCTCACTGCAGCCTCAAACTCCTGGGCTCAAGTGATCCTTCTAGCTCAGCCTCCCAATTAGCTGGGACTATAGGTGTGTACCACTATGCCCTGCTAACTGTTTTTCTTTTTTTTTTTTTCTAGACACAGGGTCTTACTGTGTTGCCTAGGCTAGACTCAAACTCCTGGCCTTTAGTGATCCTTCTACCTTGGCCTCCCAAAGTGCTGGGTTACAGGTATGAGCCATCCATATCTGGTCTACTTCTGTTTAATAAACAGTAAATAATATATTTTCTCTTCCTCATTACTTTCTTAATAACATTTTCTTTTCTCTAGCTTACTTTATTGTAAGAATATGGTATATAATACATCTAACATACAAAATATGTATTAAGTGACTATGTAATCAGTAAAGCTTCTGGTCAACAGTAGGTTATTAGTAGTTAAGTTTTGGAGGAGTCAAAATTATATATGGATTTTTGACTTGTGGAGGGTTGTTGGCACCTCCAACCCCTACATTATTCAAGGATGAACTATATTGGAAAAACCTAATGCTTTGAAAAAAAAACTAATTCTAATTCTACTGTTAAGGAGAAGCTAGATAAATTTAGTTGTCACTAAATGGTAAGATTTATGGACTTCTTTCATTTGTTTCCCTGATAGTTACATTTTTTTTCCCACCTAACTAGGCAGGGGATGATAATCATTAGCTATTGTGCTGTAACTGAAGATCAAATACCTTAGTTGCTTCAAGAACTCCACATCAGAGTTGCTGTTTATAAGCTTGATGAACTCTTCATAAGAAGGAGCATAAGTGTAGGCTCTCTTGTGATGTTCATTTATCTGTTCTCTGTACTCCAACTGGGCAAGTAGCATTTGGTTAATATAATCCGGATTACTTAGAAACTCCACTACTGGCTTCAAGACTGTGGGAAGGAGAAGAAAGCACCACTAAAAAAGGTATTCTTCTTTGAATAATTGTTTTTATATTACATAATTGAACTATACTTGGGAAACATTTTTCAACTAGTCAAATGGGGGAAATTATAAACAAAATATCCAAAAGCATGCATGTATATGTGGGCATGTGCACGCACGGGTGCACGCGCGCGCACACACACACACACATACACACACACACACACACACACGGCTGCCTATCCTTCCAGATACGTTACCAACTATGGCTACAGTCAAGTGGTCATTTTAATAAATGAGTGAAATCTAAAGGAATAATGAAAGGAAGTCATTTGGAACCCAAGTTGCTAACAAAACTATCAAAATTAAGTTCACTTATTTTTTTCTTTCTTTTCTTTCTTTCTTTTTTTTTCATAAGGCTCAATATGTTTTGACCAGTTTAGGCTGCCAAAGATGAAAGTCAACATTCTCCCACCTAGTTAAAGCAGACTCCATGGAGAAAGTTGTTAAAAAGTCAGTGACTTTTTACAAATGATTACAAATCCATTCTAGTTACTTTAGATTAAAAACTTTCTCTTTTCTCTGTGGTTGATTATATCAAATTATGGGCACAGCTGGCTAATTCCTGTATGTCCCTTAGTAAACAAGGTTTGCATAGGTGATATACAAAGTATTATCATATTAGTTTGCAAACTTATTGCATTAGTCATAGCAATTTCATAGGTCTACCTTTTGTTGTGAGAATTTCTGCAAGCATGATCCGTAAGCTGAGAGACTGGACATCCTTTGAGGGGAGGAGACAAAGCACCAGAACCCGAGAACACATTTGCAGAAATCTCACTTCATCATCTGAGTTCCTCAAGCACGCATGCAACGCAAAAGGCCTTGGCTGTTCTTCATGTCTAAAACAACAAACAGAGGGAAAAGGAAGGAAAAATTTCTAGAAACAATTCAGTTATGTACCATTAGGTAAAAAATATTTCAAATGGACAACACATTGGCTATAATAACTCTGCCACCTCCTCAACAATCTCAATAATCAAATTTCCTCAATCAAAGACAACTTATGCTGGAATAAACATAAATGCATGGCCTTTTGGGATTTCAAACCAAACCAAAAGAACTTAAGTAGCATCAAAGGTTATAGGTAACTCCCAAATCATAGCAACAATCCAAAAGGTATTTCTTTAACTAGATTGTTTTTAAGTCTTCTAGATGGCTTCTTAAATGTGATCTACAGCTTCATTCCCCACCCACTACCAAAAAAAAAAAAAAAAAAAGAAAGAAAAAGAAAAGAAATATAGCATAAACCAAGGTCACCAAGCAGCTTTCTTGACTGGGAGATCATAGGATAAAAAGTCTCTGGGCATTTCTAGTGAGGAGAAGGTAAATTGATGCTACCTAATTTGGTGGCAAATTGCCTTCTGTGAGACTCCCAAGTATTTTCCAACCAGTCTTGTCAACCTTGGTTGTGGACTTCAATGTCAGTACTGATCCTATTCCAGGACCATTAATTTGGAGGATCTGAGTGAAGAAGTTAAAAGTAGAACTTTCTATACTTCTCTATTCCATAGTATCTACATAGCAATTCAAGGAAGACTGAGATGTTAATTTTTCTACTATCTTCCAGATAAGGAGGCAAAGGCTATGAAATTCTTACAGTAAATAGTGGGTAATACTGAGAAAGAAAAAAACCACTAAAAAGAGAATAAAAATACTAAGTACTATACAGGAAATTAAACAAATAAATGCATACTGTTGCCTTTATGACCAATGTCTCTTAGATGAGATTGGGCGCATTCAGGGTGGTACGGCCATAGACCCTAAGTCTCTTAGAAGTTAACTGTGATTTCTTTTTGCACCTCAAACTGAAGACTAGTTTCTAAAGTATGAACACCAAAAAAGAAAAGTTTCCTCTTTATCTTCTACAAGCTGGAAGAATTATACCCTAATGTGTGTAAAGCCAACAACACAAAAAGAGATTTTAAGAATCAGCCTTTACACATATACTGATTTATGTTGACTTCTTTAAATGGCATCTTCAATTATTTTAAACTCTAACTATGTTGCCAGCTAGAGTTGATATTTCAATGTAGTAAGACTAAGATGCTATCCCCTTTATCATGTCAAGTACTTTTAAAGGTTAATTCTTTTCTTTAAAATATAAAAGTGGTTAAAACTTATTGGAGGTGGTCAGCTCCCCCAAAAATCCACTTTCACAAGAAAACTTCTTTAAATAATAGCAAAATCCCTCTCAGGTATACACAAGTCCCTTGTCCATACCAATAGAAGGCAGTTAATAAAAACAGCCTGGTTCTCAGACTGCCACAAGTTCCCCTCCCTCCTAGAGCTGTGTTAGTGAAAAACCTTTTGAGTCAAAGGCCAAAGGCCAGACAGTTGGTCAAACAAGCTTGATCTATGGAAAAAGAAAAGGTGGATGCTTCCCTGGAATCTCTCTGAAAACTCCAAACAGGATATTCCTCTAGTAAGTGGGCATGAAGTATGCCTTAAAGCCAAGAAAGGCTCATGAGGCATATGGCTACTTCTGGGTCAGGAGAAATCTAGCTAACCTTCCAGGGGTGCTATACCATTGGAATTTGCAGCATCTTTCTTCCGTTCAGTGTGAATCAATCATTTGTTTGCTACAGTTCCCAATACTTGCCTCTAGGTTCTCATTCCCTGAGTAAGCAAAAGGACATCAACCTTTTTTAAGTTTCATATGTACAATGTTACTTAATCCTCCCACTTATACCAAGAAGTAGATATCCTCACCCACATTTCATAGATGAGAAAATTAAGATCTGAACAGTAAGGTGAATAAAGTCATAGAGGTAAAAATGGTAGAAATAACTCTCAAGTCCAGACTCTACATGACACCATAATCGGAGATTGCAAAGATGAAAGGGAAAAAAATTTAAGAGATAAAGAAAATAAGTGAATAAAAATATTCTGTTTTCTCCTCAAACCGCATGCCAGTACTTGACCAGCAAATAAAATGCAGAGAGAGATTAAAAGAAGGAAACTATAAAATTAAAGATGCTATTGAATTAATAGTATAAAAGCAATCATTTCTAGATTTTCCTGAAACATGCTGGAACAAGATAGATGAAACAAAGGAAGAGGATGTAAATGAAAAGAATTAAATGTCATCTGGATTGGCTTATATCAGCAACACAATAACAGCCCAGAAATAAGGCTGACTGGAAAAGCAGCCTCCACAGTTGCCTGACAATCAACCAGAAGATGTATTGTTGTTTTACTAATGCAATTTGTTATTCTTTTGTCCAACAGTAGCCAATTCAATTCGGTGCTCCCCAGGCTACCAAAGTCATTCTGCAGCCAACAGAGATCTGCACATCAATGGCAATTTCTAGGACAAGAGCACTGTTTACCTGGGTCAGGCAGATACCTATATTGCCATCAAACCTGGGCTCATTGTCTGCCGGTCTCATTGCATGGTTTGTATGATACAAAGACATTACTTCTCCAGGACAAGATCACCTATATGCAAAATCCCAGTGATCTACTGGCACATCTTCAAACAATCATACTCCCAGAGAACAGTGGTAAATTTTTTTTATTTCATTATTTTTTTTCATTATTTCGTTATTTATTCTTTTGTGGTTGTTGCTGTTGTTGTTGTTATCTCCAACTAGAGCTTCTAGGAATAGCCTAGATACTAGGAAAATAAATCTACCCTTGGCAGAAGAGAACTAGAAGCCCTAAGAGAAGGAGCTAATATGGAATCAGTTCTCTGTTTCTATTATTCTAATGTTTTATCCATAACTATCATTATATTATCCACAAAAGCAGTAATTTCAAAAGCTGGTAAATGTTTCAATGAAAAATATATCCTCATGGTGAAATTAGATAATCACAAAAACACTAAATTTCTCTAACCACTTGCTCTTCTCCCAAACCTGAATCCATCGGTCTTCTATCTAGAATAAAGATTGATTTACAATATTGTCCTCTATTGGACCATCATTTAAACACTTTAAAATGAGCATCCACCGAATTCAAACAAGTCTTTGATAGTATTTGTGAGGAAGAACTTCAGAACACTTTATATAATGGAGAGTACAGCAAATTAGCAGGTGCTCCAAGGGGTTGTTGAACACTTTAAAAGGAGAGGCTGAAGTTTTTAAGACTCTAGGGAGATAACCCAAGAGTCCCATTTCTCTCACTTTCCTTATTAATTCACATCCCTCCTTCCTTACTGGACGTTACTTTCTTTGCAAGCAGCAGTATTCAAAGGGTGGTCCAGAAAGTCCTAGGTGTCTCCAAGACCCCTTCCAGGAGTCTGTGAGGTCAAAACTATGTAGTAATATAAAAAAGTCATTTGGCTTTTTTTCTCTCATTCTCATGAGCATACTGGTGCAGAGGCTACAAGATGTATGATGTTATCACACTGATAGTTAACGAAAGTGTCCCGTGTACTCTTGCACTTTAAAAATTGCTTAGTTTTAATATCTAAATATGGTAAATATTGATAGATATGATGACTGGTGAACTGATAAATGTTTAACAACCAGCTCTTCAAGAGGAAAAAACTCTGATTTGGAGCATTTGTCCATTTCACAGTGTAATACTCCCACCATGGCCTCGCAAGCTACCAATATAACATCACCTAACTCAAAGCTGGGAAGAGATGTGCACAGCTCTTACTTTCCAGTATAAGGTGACTCCGACATACCACTAAATATAACTCACATTTTAAAAAAAGCTCTTTGAGGTTCTCAATAACTTTTAAGAATTTGGAGTGATCCTGAGACCAAAAAATCTGAGAACCACTACTCTAATGTTTTCCGAACCATAGGCTGTGACCCAAAAATAAGAAAATAAAACTGAGTTATTACAAACAGTATATTTAAAAAATGTTAAAGAGCAAAAAATGTCAAAGTTATTACAAGTAATGAGAGTACTGTTTTATGAAACTAGGTCATGATATAAAATGTATTTCTCACAACAGATCACAGTTTTTAAAAAAGTTTGTAAAACACTGGGGCAGCAAGTTGGCAAACAGACAGCATGTAACAGCTCTGTGGACTCTGGCCTCTTAGACCTGATACTGAGAGACAAGACAATTCCCAGGAAGAGGCAATACAGCTAAGAATGGAGACTGGCTGCATAACAACACATAGTAACAACATCCACTGCAAAAGCAACATCACGAAACAGACTGCGGATTATTTTCCGATAAAGTCACATAACAGGGCTTCTTAGAAGAGAATATCAGTTACCACCTGCCCAAAGATACCAATGCTGGCTCATCCCCTTATGTGGTTAAAGTACTTTGAATCTTCCCCGGAAGTGACAATAGGCCACATTAGCCATTCCTATTCCTATTCCAACCAAGTTCATATTCAAACAGCAGAAGGCTACTCATTTCAATAAGACTATTTTTTTTTTAAATTTCAGATTATGGGGGTAAAAATATTTTGGTTACATATACTGCCTTTGCCTTGCCCCAGCCAGGGCTACAAGCGAGCCCTTCCCCCATACAGTGTGCTCCACACTCACTAGTTGTGAGTTTACCCACCGCCATCCCTACTGTCCAGCATCCAATGCATATTTCTACCATGTGAGCACCTAAGTGCAGATCAGGTAGTACCAATCTGATGGCAAGTACATGCGGTGCTTGTTTTTCCATTCTTGTGATACTTCACTTCGAAGGATGGGCTCCAGCGCTATCCAGGAAATATAAGAGGTGCTAGTTCACCATTTTATTTTTGTAATTCAGTAGTATTCCATGGTATACATATACCACATTTTATTAGTCCACTCATTGATGGGCACTTGGGTTATTTCCACATCTTTGCAATTGTGAATTGTGCTGCCATAAACATTCAACCGCAGATGTCCTTATTTATAAAATGTCTTTTTTTCCTTTAGGCAGATGCCTGGTAGTGGGATTGCTGGATCAAATGGTATTTCTATTTTTAGTTCTTTGAGATATCTCCAAATTACTTTCCACAGTGGTTGTACTAATTTGCATCCCACTAGCAGGGTAAGAATGTTCGTATCTTTCCACATCTATTCCAACATTTGTTGTTTTAGGACTTTTTGATAAAGGCCATTCTCACTGGAGTTAGGTGAAAACTTACTGTGGTTTTTATATGCAATTCCCTAATGACTAGAGATATTGAGCACTTTTTTATGTTTGCTGGCAATTATTCTGTTTTCTTTTGTAAAGTCTCTGTTCATGTCCTTTGCCCACTTTTTAAGGGGGTTGTTTGATTTTTTTCTTGTTAGTTTTCTTAAGTTCTAAATATAGATTCTTGTTTTCAGGCCTTTATTGGATGTATAGCATGCAAATATTTTCTCCCATTCTATAGGTTGTCTATTTGTTCTAATGATAGTGTCCTTGGCTGTGTAGAAGCTTTTTAATTTGATCAGGTCCCATTTATTTATTTTTATTGATGCTGTGATTGCTTTGGGGGTCTTCTCCATAAATTCTTTGCATAGGCTAATGTCATTAAGAGTTTTCCCAACATTTTCTTCTAGAATTCTTAAGGTTTTACACCTTAGGTTTAAGTCTGTTAACCATATGAATTGATTTTTGTGAGAGGTGAGAGGTGGGGATCCAGTTTCAACCTTCTGCATGTGGTTATCCAGTTTTCCCAGCACCGTTTATTGAACAGAGATTCTTTTCCCCAGTGTATATTTTTGTCTGCTTTGTCAAAGATTAGATGACAATATGTGGATAAGACTACTCTTTATGCTCAAGTTAGAAGTGCTATAATTCATCATCCTCACACTTATTTAAAAGATACACACTTAAGATTCTAATAGCAAAGCTAAGAAAATTTTATTATGAGCACAGAAATGGCTTTGTTGAAGTCTTATTCCAGAGGCAGATTCTCACCTAATAGGTACAAACCTTTTTTAATGTAACAGTACAAAGGGCTAACATGCATAAATATCAGTTATTTTCTTCTCTAATTAAAGCCCATAAACTCCAATATTAAGTACCTTTAAAAATTGGTTTTCAGAATATTGTGATGCAATAGAACTCTTAACACAGGACTCACCAAAAGAAACATGAACCAAATTTAAATTTTTCTAAAAATTGTTAACTAATTGACACTATTCACATTAGAAAATAATATATTGAAATTTTCTACTTCTAAATACCTAAAATACTATAAATAAGATCATCCTGGTGCTGGCTCAGTAAAATTTATTTGGCTGTGTATTTACAAAATTAAACATATCTATAAAGTGTTTTTTTATTAGAAAATTTAAAAAGGATCAGAAAGCTTTTAAAAATCTACTCTAGTAAAACACTATGGTTACTTCCCCTCAATACATTTTTAAGCCAAGTACTGGCAAGAGGCTGAATATTCTAGAGTTTTGTCTTGACTTTGACCCTTTACTCAATAAGAACGATATTTTAATATGGAAAAGGGGGTGAGTTGTTCATATTATAACAGTTACCTGGCGTTAGCAGCTTTCAGGTCACAGAAATGAGTGAGTAAAGTCCTTACAACATCATTGCAGACAACTTTAACCACATCCATGTGACTCAGTCTGTGGTGCAGTTCTCTGGTTATTTCCCAAAAGTCTTCTAAGAGCAGATGGTAAAGTTGTCCCTCATCTCTGCTGAGGTTTCCATACCAGGACAGAACGTAATCTCTATAACTGTAGTCGAACACTAACAGGAATAAACAAAGCAATGAGTAAAACCAACAGAAGAAGCAAATACCAAGACAGCATTTCTGCTAGAAACTGGCCGCCTACTATTTAATGTTGTTTAAAACTATGGTCCCCAAGCCCCAGGCAGGACCAGTACCACCTGTGGCCTGTTAGGAACTGGGCCACGCAGCAGGACATGAGTGGCTGGCGAGCAAGTGAAGCTTCATCTGTATTTACAGTCACTACACATCACTTGCATCACTGCACAAGCTCCGCCTCCTGTCAGAGCAGTGGTGGCATCAGATTCTCATAGGAGCACAAATCCTTCTGTAAACCTCGAGTGCGAGGGATCTAGGTTGTGTGCTCCTTATGAGAATCTAATGCCTGATGGTCTTAGGTGGAACTGAGGCAGTGATGCTACTGCTGGGAAGCAGCTACAAATACAGATTATAATTAGCAGAGAGATTTGACTGCACAATAAATGTAATGCACTTGAAACATCCTGAAACCATCCCCCCAAAACCCAGTCCATGAAAAAATTGTCTTCCATAAAAATGGTCTCTGGTGCCAAAAAAAGTTGGAGATCACTGGTTTAAAATATGAAGAAAGCAGAAAACAGAACTTAAGAGAAGACAGGTAATCTTTCTTAAATCATTTAAAATGAAAGATTCTCATCTAACTAGAATATTTGAGCATGGTGATCACATGCCCTGGATTTTCTCAGCCCTATTTTAAAATATTCTATCTTGATGCCAAACTACCCAAATTTATCCCCCCCCCAAAAAGCCCAGGGCATCTTATGCAGTGGTAACATACTCATGAAGTGTACCAGTTATCAATGTATTGCCTTCGTGCTCCAAATTCTGCCTTTCTGCCCTGCTTTTTGATGTAGGACCTGAACCCTGCAAACATTTCTTCTTTGCCTACTGGCATAATGTTAAGTTTGTCAGCAGAGTATGCTAGAAGGGTATTGGAGGAGGAAGGGGCTTTTCTTCCTGGTTCCTACTATGTGCAGCAGACAGCAGCAGGCATGGCACCCAGTGGTGCTCACCCCAGCGAGTTCCAATGGCATCTACAGGGCAGCTTCCCAGAAAATTCTGCTGGCTTCCTCTGGCCTATGGTATCTGCCCAAACTCCTGAACCATCAAGTGTGTCAAGCTTGTGCACTCTCCAATGAGACCCCCGTCTCTACTAAAAAAATATAAAGAAATTAGCTGGACAACTAAAAATATATATATTATATATATGTATACATATTTTGAATATACATTTATATTTTTAATATATATATATATATATTATATATATATATATATATAATATATATAAAAATTAGCTGGGTATGCCTGTAGGCCCAGCTACCTGGGAGGCTGAGGCAGGAGATTGCTTGAGCCCAGGAGTTTGAGGTTGCCGTGAGCTAGGCTGACACCACATAGCTCTAGCCCAGGCAACAGAGTGAGACTGTCTCAGAAAAAAAAAGAAAAAACAACAGTCCTAAAGGTACAAGGCAGTTTGAATTCAATGAGAATGTCTTTTTTTTTAAGATACCAGAAAGAGGTGAGGTACAGTGGCTCATGTCTGTAATCCCAGCACTCTGAGAGGCGGAGGCAGGAGGACTGCTTGAACTCAGTTGTTTGAGACCAACCTGAGCAAGAGTAAGACCCCCGTCTCCACTAGAAACAGAAAAGCTACCCAGGTGCAGTAGCGCACCTATAGTCCCAGCTACTTGGGAAGCTGAGGCAAGAGGATCAATTGAGCCTAGGATTTTGAGGTTGCAGTGAGCTATGATGGTGCCACTGCATTCTAGCCCAGGCAACAGACCAATATCCTGCCTTAAAAAAATAAATAAAGAGTTGAGCAGATACTTCAACCAAAGGCTAGATAACGGAATCTAGAATGTCTAAAAAGTAGCATCCAAGCTGTTCAGTTCACAATTGAAAATAACTAGACATAAGAAAACCAAAACAAGTAACAAATAGTCAAGAGAAAAAACAATCACTAGAAACCATCCTCAAGATGTTAGAATTAGCATACAAGAACTTTAAAGCAGCTACTATAAATATGTTCAAGGAATTGAAGATAATAGTCAACTGTGATCACAAATATATCACAATATGTATCAAAAAATATATCATAAATATATTGTGATAGTCCCTATACTACCCATAAATAACAAAGAATAAGCTGATATACACAATTTAGATAAATCTCAAAAACATTCTGCTGAGTGAAGGAAGCCCAGCATAAAAAAGTAAAGGATGATTCCACTTCTATAAAGTTTAATAGGCAAAATGAATTTTAGTGATAGAATCCAAGCAATGGAGGGTAGGTTTTGACCAAAGGCAGGCACAAGACAAATTTTCTGGGATGATAGAAATGTTCTTTATTTTGATTGAGACAGTATTTATAAGGTTATATGCATTAAAAATTTATGTCTGTCTGAAGACTTATCCTTTGCTGTTGGAAAAAAATAAGTAAAATTATTTTAAATAAATAAGTAAAAATTTATGAATTATATACTTAAAATGTATGCATTTCAAAATATGTAAATTTTTCCTGAAATGCAATTAAGAATACTGTACTCTTTAAAACCATCATTTTGAGACTATTAATAACAAAAATCAAATTTTAAATCCAATAAGCTTTATAAAATTATTATACTTTTTAACTAATAACAGAAATATTTCTAAAGTTTAATTACAGTCCCCAAAGTTTTAAAATTCTATGAATCCACACAAGTTCAAACTGTTTCTGTACTTACATAGTACTCATCTTCAGATTTTAATATGGTGACCTCCATGAACTACGACAAGTAAAACATATTTGCTTATGCAAGTATCACTTATTCAGTTCTCTTACCTTCACGTCTAACACCACGTGCTCGCCTGAAAAACTCAGACTTTTTCCTGAATAAATTGTCAGTGTTTTTAGAAATTTTATTTTAAAAAACCTTTTTAAACCTTAATTTGATCTTCAAAATATATTACCTTTTTAAACTTTAATATTTATAACTACACTTACTTATTCCCACTTCCAGACATATAACCATATTGTACCTTCTACCATCCACCCTCAGCCTTCTTCAATACAAGCTTCACTTGTATGTTCTTCATTCTACTGTAGTATTGACTGCTATCACTTAATTTGGTAACTTGGTTTATCCATGAGTGAGCCTGAGTTCATTTATCCCCAACACAATTTCTCTAGGTTATATCTAGAAAAAAATTTCTAAAACCTACTTTAAGGAACAGGGAGTAGATTCATGGTTCACATGGTGGAACTAGCTCTACATAGCTGACTAGCTTCATATGATCTGAAAATTCCTACTCAATAAATGTTTAAATCCCTTCCATTCAACCAAAACACTGATATATTCAGTCATCAAATATAAACTCACGATGAAAAAAACTCCTAATGTTGTATGTAGATAAGAAGCATAAATTTGCCAGAGATTATTATTTTCCATTTAGAACATAATGAATTGCTTTACATAGTAATTATAACATACACTCTCATTTAATCCTTACCTTCTTTCAGAGCTTTATCCATATTATGAGAAATTACTACTCTTCTAGACTGAGCAGACTCATGTGAGTTACCATACAAAGGACTCTGAAATGTAAGGAAAAACACCACAGATTACTGAATGAATGAATCACATATAAAAATAAAACTATAGGTATGAAATGCCATCTAAACATGCATTAAGAAAAGGCTTAAGAGATTATAAAGTTCTTCTGAAAAAGTAAATAAATGCATAAGGTTAAATTTTTGAAAAGAAAGAATCAAGGGAGAATGCTTCCTACCAGATATCAAAACAGTAAGATGACAGTGTAGGATAAACAAATCAACAGAAGGATAGAAAGCATAAAAAACAGATGTACCCATATAGAAATTAAGAACATAGAATTTGAAATTTTGAGGGAAAAACATTATTCAGTAAATGATGTTGGGTAATTTACTATTCATGTTTGGAAAAAATATTACAGTCTTATACTTTGTATATAAATAACTTCAAATTGATTAAAGAATGAAAATTTTTTAACTAAAAACATATTAAAAGGAAAGCCATTTATAATCTTGGGATAGAAAAGGCTTTCCTAAAATAAGACATAAAATTCAAGAGTTATGAAGGAAAAGAAAAGATGACTATGACTATTTAAAATAGAAAATTCTTGTTTGATAAAAGATGCTATAAACAAGATATTCTAGGAGACAATGTCTGCAACATATGTAACAAAGGACTATCATTTAATAGAAACACAGCTCCTAAAATTAGAAAAGTAACTCAAATAAAACTCAAACAAATAAATTGAAAGGGTAATCATAAAATATAAACAAATAACCAATAAGTATATGAAAAAATGCAGGCCCCTTTTTATTAGAGGAATGCAAATTAAATTAGAGCAATGAGGTACCAGCAGACAGCCAAAGCAGAGGAAAGACTCACATATCGAATGTTGGCAAGGACACATGGAAATGGTTGTTTTCATATATTGTTGGGAGAATGTCTATATGCATTAAAAATTTATGTCTGTCTGAAGACTTATCCTTTGCTGTTGAAAAAAATAAGTAAAATTATTTTAAATAAATAAGTAAAAATTTATGAATTATATACTTAAAATGTATGCATTTCAAAATATGTAAATTTTTCCTGAAATGCAATTAAGAATACTGTACTCTTTAAAACCATCATTTTGAGACTATTAATAACAAAAATCAAATTTTAAATCCAATAAGCTTTATAAAATTATACTTTTTAACTAATAACAGAAATATTTCTAAAGTTTAATTACAGTCCCCAAAGTTTTAAAATTCTATGAATCCACACAAGTTCAAACTGTTTCTGTACTTACATAGTACTCATCTTCAGATTTTAATATGGTGACCTCCATGAACTACGACAAGTAAAACATATTTGCTTATGCAAGTATCACTTATTCAGTTCTCTTACCTTCACGTCTAACACCACGTGCTCGCCTGAAAAACTCAGACTTTTTCCTGAATAAATTGTCAGTGTTTTTAGAAATTTTATTTTAAAAAACCTTTTTAAACCTTAATTTGATCTTCAAAATATATTACCTTTTTAAACTTTAATATTTATAACTACACTTACTTATTCCCACTTCCAGACATATAACCATATTGTACCTTCTACCATCCACCCTCAGCCTTCTTCAATACAAGCTTCACTTGTATGTTCTTCATTCTACTGTAGTATTGACTGCTATCACTTAATTTGGTAACTTGGTTTATCCATGAGTGAGCCTGAGTTCATTTATCCCCAACACAATTTCTCTAGGTTATATCTAGAAAAAAATTTCTAAAACCTACTTTAAGGAACAGGGAGTAGATTCATGGTTCACATGGTGGAACTAGCTCTACATAGCTGACTAGCTTCATATGATCTGAAAATTCCTACTCAATAAATGTTTAAATCCCTTCCATTCAACCAAAACACTGATATATTCAGTCATCAAATATAAACTCACGATGAAAAAAACTCCTAATGTTGTATGTAGATAAGAAGCATAAATTTGCCAGAGATTATTATTTTCCATTTAGAACATAATGAATTGCTTTACATAGTAATTATAACATACACTCTCATTTAATCCTTACCTTCTTTCAGAGCTTTATCCATATTATGAGAAATTACTACTCTTCTAGACTGAGCAGACTCATGTGAGTTACCATACAAAGGACTCTGAAATGTAAGGAAAAACACCACAGATTACTGAATGAATGAATCACATATAAAAATAAAACTATAGGTATGAAATGCCATCTAAACATGCATTAAGAAAAGGCTTAAGAGATTATAAAGTTCTTCTGAAAAAGTAAATAAATGCATAAGGTTAAATTTTTGAAAAGAAAGAATCAAGGGAGAATGCTTCCTACCAGATATCAAAACAGTAAGATGACAGTGTAGGATAAACAAATCAACAGAAGGATAGAAAGCATAAAAAACAGATGTACCCATATAGAAATTAAGAACATAGAATTTGAAATTTTGAGGGAAAAACATTATTCAGTAAATGATGTTGGGTAATTTACTATTCATGTTTGGAAAAAATATTACAGTCTTATACTTTGTATATAAATAACTTCAAATTGATTAAAGAATGAAAATTTTTTAACTAAAAACATATTAAAAGGAAAGCCATTTATAATCTTGGGATAGAAAAGGCTTTCCTAAAATAAGACATAAAATTCAAGAGTTATGAAGGAAAAGAAAAGATGACTATGACTATTTAAAATAGAAAATTCTTGTTTGATAAAAGATGCTATAAACAAGATATTCTAGGAGACAATGTCTGCAACATATGTAACAAAGGACTATCATTTAATAGAAACACAGCTCCTAAAATTAGAAAAGTAACTCAAATAAAACTCAAGCAAATAAATTGAAAGGGTAATCATAAAATATAAACAAATAACCAATAAGTATATGAAAAAATGCAATCCCCTTTTTATTAGAGGAATGCAAATTAAATTAGAGCAATGAGGTACCAGCAGACAGCCAAAGCAGAGGAAAGACTCACATATCGAATGTTGGCAAGGACACATGGAAATGGTTGTTTTCATATATTGTTGGGAGAATGTCTATTTCTATAAGCTTTTAAGAAGGCAACTGGGCCACATTTATCAAAATTTCAATTTTTTTAAAGACAGAGTCTCGCTTTGTCACCCACGGCTAGAGTGCTGTGGCATCAGCCTAGCTCACAGCAACTCTAACTCCTGGACTCAAGTGATCCTCCTCCCTCAGCCTCCTGAGTAGCTGGGACTACAGGTGCACACCACCATACCCAGCTGTTTGTATTTTAGTTGTCTAATTTTCTCTATATTTAGTAGTAAAGACAGGGTCTTGCTCTTGCTCTGGCTGATCTTGAACTCCTGACCTTAAGCAATACTCCTGCCTCAGCCTCCCAGAGTGCTAGGATTATAGGCATGAGTCACTGCGTTTGGCCAAATAACTATCTTTTGACTCAGCAATGCCACTCCTAGGAAACTGCCCAACAGAAATACTTGCACATATACAAAAAAGTATATGCATAAGGAATTTCACAGCTATATTGATTATAAGGGCAAAAAATTGGAAATAACACAAGAGTATATATCAATAGTCAAAGAGTTAAACAAGTAATAGTAGTACATCATTAAAAAGAATGCTTTAGGGATACACGATCTTCCATGATGGGAAGATATTTAGAAACACAAACATCAAAGTATTAAAAGTGATTTCTTCTAGAATTTTAACTTCTTATTGTATTTATGTTTGTATAATAACAAGTAATGTTTGCTTGGCATTAAAAAGAGAGAGAGAAAGACAATGTACAAAATTAAAATCCCACTATCTGGCTACTAAGACTCTATTAAAGAAGAAAAATTTTTTAATTGATCACATACCAAAGTAATCAAATGTATGTATAATGCAATTGGGGCCTACCTATTGGTTTGGGAGGGAAAGGAAACCTAAAAAGGTGTAGAGCAATTTTTTTGTGCATAAGAAATATTTCAAGTGCTTGACCAGCATTCCCATATCACTAGGAGATCTAAATTGCTATCACCCTAATCCTATAAACAAGCATGAGGAAATCAGTTTGTTCTGAAGCAGGCCAAAGCAGCACAGCTGCAATCAATCCCATGGCTCTAGGCCAGTCAACTGGGGGTGGAGAATTTAAAGTCCCTGGCTTAGTCTCATGCTATCCATGGGACCCAGGGGTAAAGTGCCAAGGTGTCATCCCTGTTCATGATCGTTATTATTAAAACCAAACAAAAAAGCCATAGCTTCAAGACTTTTTAGTGAAAATACTTTTTAAAAAAATCTTATGATATACATTTTACACCTATGATAGAAAAGACATTCCTTTATGCTACAAATTAAAATATAGCATTCAACACTGTCCCAAGGAATTTTTTTAAAACTTAATCAAATCATTTATAGACAAAACCACTTGATACATAAAAGAAAAAATTAAAAAATACATTTAAAACTATTTTCTAGTCTCTGGGTAGCTCTCTACCAAATTATATGGTCAGTAGATTTTATTATAATTGTTAAAAAGTTTTACTTAGCTCATGAAGTAAAAAATTGAAGAAATGAGGAATTTTTAAATTCTAGTGCTTTTTAAACATCAGGCAGATATTTAAACTTATGAATTTTTGGATAATCTTTACCTGAGTTAGATACTTTCAGAGGGCTACACTTATAATTTTATTTTTTAATAACATTAAAAAATAAATTAAATATAATTTAATTTTTAATTTTTTTAGTTTTTTTGAGACAGAGTCTCACTCTATTGCCGGGGCTACAGTGCCGTGGCGTCAGCCTTGCTCACAGCAACCTCAAACTTCTGGGCTCAAGCAATCCTCCTGCCTCAGCCTCCCGAGTAGCTGAGACTACAGGCACGGGCACCATGCCCGGCTAATATTTTCTATATATTTTTAGTTGGCCAATTAATTCTTTCTATTTTTTTTTTAGTAGAGATGGGGTATCACTCTTGCTCAGGCTGGTTTCAAACTCCTGACCTTGAGCGATCTGCCTGCCTCGGCCTCCCAGAGAGCTAGGATTACAGGCGTGAGTGACACTTACAATTTTAATCACAACTTCTCAATGCTTTGGCAAATAGTCTGGTTACAGCACCAAATATAAGTATAATAGTTTTAATGAATAATACTGACTGGATGATAAAACCAAAGACAAAGAACTTTTATTTAAGAAGTTCCTGACTATGGATTCTTAAAATGGAACCTGTCTTTAAGGGATAGGAGAGAAATAATCAGTAATGTGACTCACAGGCAGTGCATGTATATTTGAAGCATACTCTCTATATATGTCTGTTTTCACCACTCCCTTCAAAACTTTTAATTTTTTTTGTCTCTCTAGTTTGGATCTACTAGCTCTTGCCATTTGTCTGCATATTTTTCATCTCTTCACTTCATACTTGGGCGGTATATAAACATATTTGTCACTACTGACTATAAGGCCTTTGGTCTCTTTCATTTAAAAAGCCTGAGACATAGGTAGAATGGTGGTAGCCAGGGGCTGGAGGAAGGGGCAATGGGGAGTTACTGTTTAATGCATATAGAGTTTCAGTTTTACAAGAGGAAAAGAGTTATGAGGATGCATGGTAGTGATGATTGCACATTACTAATGTATTTAATACAATCTAATTATACGTTCAAAAATGATTAAGATGGGCCAGGTATGGTGGCTGGTGCCTGTAATCCCAGCACTCTGGGAGGCTGAAGCAAAAGGACTGCTTGAGGCCAGGAGTTTGAGACCAGCCTGGACAACATAGAGAGACCCTGTCTCCACAAAGCAAAGTAAAAAAAAAAAAAAAAATCAGCCGGGAATGGTGGTGCGTGCCTGTAGTCCCAGCTGCTTGGGAGGCTGAGGCAGCAGGATCACCTGCGCCAAGGTGTTTGAGGCTGCAGTGAGCAATGATCATGCCACTGAACTATAGTGACTAGGTAATAGAGAGATACTCTGTCTCTTTAAAAAAAAAAAAAACTTTTTCCAAACCAGACCACTGTCATATAAAAATACACCTTATGTTTTGCTTAATTAAAATAAATGCAGGCTGTCTTCATTTTAAGTCTTAAATATAGATTAAAACCAATTTATCAAGATCATTTTTAATTGCTTAGTTCTCTGGAGAGAGAAAATGTGAGGCCTTATTTTAAAAACATTTCTAAAATGTTTTCCAAAGACGGGATAAAACCTGAAAGCTTTTCTCTAATATATCTAACTAGATCCTCAGCATCAAAAAGAGCAGAAAGCATATCAATAAACCCTTTCTAAATACATAGCAGCTTTCTGTTTATTCCTCAATATCAGCTTTTAGACTATAGCCATAATACACTCAAATTATCTTTGAGTCAAGGCTAAAGATACCCTTCCATGAAGAAACATCCAGGGAGAAGCCATGCAGAGAAACGCGGGTCTTCTAACACCATTAGCAACTAAACAACGAGGAACTATCTGGAATCCAGCCAATACATATACCTCATTGTCCATTGTTTTTAAGTATGACACGGCACACTGTGACTTGTAATTCCATTCATGCCAATTACCTGGACTATTCAAACCAGTATTTCTCCCCTTCGTTACATACATACATATCTTTTGAACTTTTAATGTATTCTTATTTTGGAAAGGAAAACAGTTGCACAGAGTTCATGGGGTGATAGGTGTAATATCCTATAAAGCTACTAATATGGTGATTCATCTTACAAAGACAAAACAAACTGCCAATAATCCTCATTAACCACATGGAGCTGTCACATGTCTGAGAGTCTTTCCAAGCATACTCAGCATCTTGACAAGCTACTGGGATCCCATGACTAATATTCTCATTCTTAAACTATGATATTCTCAGAACCACAGCTCCTTGCAAAAGAATGACATTCTGCCTCAGCCTCAAAAAATAATGTATTCATTTTTATTTTTTTTTTATTTTTTTTTTCTTTTAGGCCCATTCATGTACTTGTATAAAAAATAATGTATTCAAAACTGAAGAAATGATGAAACCATACATATCCCTCCTCAGAAGGATGGGAAAGGTCTAAGACTTTAGACTGAGATTTGACTGAGATTCTGACAAAAGACCCTGACATGAGCTATAAAATTCACTCCCCACCTGGAAGCTGAGTGGCTGTGTTGAGAGAGGCCCAGCTGTGCTGTCTACTAACAGAGGGTTC